CATGATCAGGGGAAGCCGTTTCTCCTGGCAGTATTCTGCCAGTTTTATCACCGGTGCAGGCGGCACCGCTCCCCCTCGTCATGAGAGAAGTAGGCCGAGCAAATAACCATTTTCTTCCTGTCACCAGAGTCATCAGTGAAATTCATTTCTACAGCCGCAACGTCCCTGGAACACAGGTGAGGTATTAGCTGGACTTCCATATCCTTGACGACCACGCAGGCCCTGGGCCAATCCACTGATGGGGCCCTAAAGAGCCTACCGCAGGCTGCCAAGCCCCTTTTTTTGTTTCTTTTTTTTGTTTTGGTTTGAGAGCCAGAAGGGCCCCCCTGGGACGAGGAAATCTTCAAAAGACACACTCCCGTCGTGCAAAGACTGAGGATTGCTAGCCCTCAGCCTGACGGGAGGTAGTGTCGGATTCACAGCCTGTCCTAACCTAAGTCAGGAACAGACTGTGCCTACCGACTAAAACCTCGTCCCAGAAAAATCCATTTGTACATTGTCGTGTTAGGTGAGGGTCAGGGATTACGATCGAGCGCATGACTCCTTCCTCTCCCCTAGGCTGATCCTGGTGACCGGATCCTAATCCACAGTGGTCCGGTATTGGTCCGGACTACCATACCCCCGCTACCTCCTCAGGGACCTGATGAAGGGCCCGGTTGTGGCGACCCTGGACGAACAATCTCAGGGCCTCTCGCCTTTTTAAGTTCCGCCTGAGGTGGACTAGTGGAATCCTCCCTTGGCCTCTTTGCATCAACGGTGCTTAGTCTCCCCACCGATTCAGTCTCCATATCCGGAGACGATAAGGGCAGTTAATGGGACTGCGCATCCCCACCACCTTCATCGCTACGTGCAAGCGTGTTCCGCGCCACTTCCCTCTTGGGAGGGATAGGGGGACAGGCCGTGTTATCTGCCCTATGCCCCGAAGGTCGCTCGTTGAGGGCGCAAATGGGACAGTGCGGCTTCTCCCCGCTGTATGGCCTTCGCCACCGCACTGATAACAGCAGTGTGCCCGATCCACAGTGAATGGACATCGCTGCTGCACGTGTCCTCTGCCCAAGCATCTGAAGCACTGGGCCGGTCTGCTTGGAAGAAGCTCGACTCTTACCTGGGTCCATCCTATGTCTATAGAACCAGCTTCGACTAGCTTGAAAGCCGCCTCTGCCGGACATTGGGCCCAAGCCAGGTTTAGACCCCTGCGGAATTCCGCCAAGCCCCTGATGCAACCCCGGATTACCCAGGGTTCTTGCATCAGTGATATGCATGTTTGCCTCCCAGCTTGTTGCCTGGCCAGAACAGCCGAGGCCCCTTTGCTGTGATGCAGATTAATCTGGGTGAAGACCACCCCTCTCGATCCCGCCATTTAATTACGAGACCGTTTTAGGGGGTTCCTCCTTATTCCCCCTCACGCCCCCCCTGGGCCCCATTTACCCGAAAGGCAATCCTGTCGAGCCCAAAGAATGGTTTGAAGTCCAGTGTCCTCAATTTGAGGACACTGGACTCCGGGATACCGAAGACCAGGTTCCCACCCTCCCTGGTGGCCCCTACCCCTTCCGCAAACACTTTCCAGTTCCTGGTGACAAGACCTGGGTTCTGCTTCTCCAGCCGCCTCAGGACCGTGGCCGCGCCCTCGGGAGATCCCGGGACCCAAACCACCGCCCTGTGCTGCTTTTGAAGCGCGTCCATGCCCATCACCCTGAGCTTGGCGCCCTCCCACGGAATGATGCTGCCGATCCGCCCCACGAGCCAACCCAGCGACGCCTCATCCGCGCATCTTACTACCGCCGCACCGCTCCTTAAAAAGGTGCCGTGGAATCTGGGCACCGGACCCTCTTGGATCCCGTCGATCTCTTTCGAGACCGCACCCCTCAACAGAGTCAACTGCTCTGCAGTGATTTCTGCCTCGGGGTAGCCCTCCGCCACAATCACCCTCGCCAGAGGATCAGCAGCGTCCGAATAGGCATGGTGCCCATCGTGAGCCCTTTGCCTTTTCAGCGGACAGCCGCCCGATAGAGGAGTGTCATTGGAGCCGTTCCGACATTTACCATCGGTGTGCCCCTTCACTACCTCCACCGGCGTACAAGGAGGAGTCACGGGAAGAGAGCGAGCCCTTTTCAGAGCCTCTGCTCTCATCCGCTTCGCCCTCCTTCTTTCGGCCCCGCACCGGTTCTTCTTCACTGGAGGTAAAGCCTCCTGCCGCGCAGCCGGGCCGGCTTCACTTCCGGAGCCCTTAAGGGTCCCGTCCGTCACCACCGTCCCAGCTCCTTCCCTCGGAGACCCGTCACGCGAGCCCTCCCGATCTCTCACTTCGTCCTCTGTGTTTGAAATAAGACAGTCCATAGTGGTCCCACGAGTAGCTAGGGAATTACACGGTCCGTCCACGCAGAGCCCCGCATGCGTGGGTAAGGCTGGATACTCTGGGGTTTCGCCCGATTCCCCAGAGGCATCGTTCGCGACACTGCTCCCCCAGTGACATGCAGCCATCGCCACGATGGCTTACAACTTGGCTTGGGGAGCTGGTCCGCGGCAACGGTCTTCCCTTACCCTCCACAGGGTTTTACTTCCGTGGGGCCAGGTTATAACCGCCACTACCCAGCAGCACTGAGTCCCCTCAAAGAACTCACACCTACTGGGCGTCCTCCTATCCGCCACCTTGGAGACGCGCCCGGTGGGTAGCTCAACCCCCGGGGGATGACTTCGCTGGGAACTGCGAAAGTCTATGGGTGGGTGGGAAGAGGCTGCCCGCAGGGCGGAGTACTTTCCCTACTTTTATGGTGCCTGGTAGCAGACGGTTTATTAAAGGCACTGGACGATAGAGGCTTCACTGCACAAGGCTACGCGGACGACGTGGCAATACTTGTGCGAGGCCCTTTTCTAGAGACGCTTCTAGAGCTCATGCAGGGGGCACTGAAAGTTGTAGAAGAGTGGTGTCAGAGGACGGGTTTGGCGGTAAATCCACTAAAAACCGGTCTTACTGTCTTCTCTCGCAAATACAAGGTGGGCACCATTGTGGGACCCACTCTTGGAGAAGTAAGGTTAGTTCCGACCGAATCAGTGAAATATCTGGGAGTTATCCTGGATAGGAAACTGCTTTGGGAGGAGCACCTTAGTAACCGGTGCAAAAGCTTGTGCCAGTATTTTTGGATGTGCAGAAGGACCTTTGGCCAGACTTGGGGTTTGAAACCGAGTATGATACACTGGATCTACACAGCCATACTTCGCCCCAGACTCACATACGCAGCCATAGTATGGTGGACTAGGGCGCAACAGAAAACAGTCAAAGTTGCGCTGGAGCATGTCAGGGCTCTGATTTTGAGAGGGGCCCTGGGTGCTATGGATACGACACCAGTAGCGGCGATGAGCGTAATGTTCGGCATCAAACCGTTTCATCAGGTGGTGGTGGCTGCGGCAGCAGTGGCAACATACCGCCTAAGATGCGAACTAAAATGGAAGAAGGGAGCCCGGCATACGAGACTGCCGGAAGACGTTCTGCTGGATCCGATATTCGAGATGCGACAGGACAGAATACCTATTATTCGGGCTTCTGATAGGCGCTTCAAAGTGCATATACCGAGGCCGGAGGAGTGGGAAAAGGAAGGTGGAAACTTAGGGGCTCGAGTGCGTGGAGGAGATGTCTGGTATACGGACGGCTCCAAGACGGACACGGGCTCCGGGGCCGGCTTCTTTGGCAGTCGAGAGGGATGGAAGGAGAGCATTTCTCTCGACAGTTATGCCACGGTATTCCAAGCGGAGATTGTGGCTATTCTAAGCTGTGCTCAGACCGTGCGGAGTAGAGTAGAGGCGGGGGGGCACATCAGGATTTGTACGGACAGCCAGGCAGCCATCAAGGCGCTGGGGGCTCCGACAATAACGTTGCGATTGGTTCAGGAGTGCAGAGGCGTTCTGAAC